ACGGCTCTGGGGCCGGACCCGGACGAGCCGAGCCATGGCGGGGTCCCGGGCCGGGAGCCGGCGGGGAGAGGGCGGGAGGCGGGCGTGGCGGAGGCTCCGGGGCCGCGCTGAGCATCAGCACCGGGGACAGCGCGCCGCGCTGCATTGTGGGAAACTCCTGCGGCCGCCGCGGCAGCTGCCGCATCGCCCCCCGCGGGGCCGGTCCCCACCCTTTCTCCGCCCCCACACCTCCGTCAGCCGACTCCGGCTGCCCCCTATGGGTCTGGAGAAAGCCCTCAAGACCTCCCCAGGCTCACCTTCAAACCAGCCCAAGTCCCAGTTCTCCAGCCGGATGCTCCCGTGTACCCACTCCCCTACCCTCCCCACCCTCTTGCCTGCTCTCCTCCCCCGTGCCCAAAGCTCCTGAAGAATTCTAGAAGGAAAGGATGAGCCTGGGGGAAAGGGCTGAAAGATATCAAACTCCTGAAAAGCTGGTTTTCAGCCCACTGGCCATTTGGCTTATTGGATTAGGATATGAACTCAAGCTGCCCAAATTCGAATCCTTTCTTGTTTTCTCACTAGTTGTATGATTTGGACAGCTCACCTAAATTATCCGGAACTCCGTGTCCTCATCAGTAACATGGGACTATAATACCAACTTTGGAATTCGTTCGTTTATTTATACAAGAAATATTCACAAATATCTTTTCTGTGCCTGGCTCTGTGCTGCGTAACGCTGGAACACAGCAGAGACGGAGAGAACTTCACAACCCAACCTCACCGGGCCCCGGTCCACGGGGGCACAGACCAGTGAGCAGTGACACCCAGAGTGGGCTAGACGGGGAGGCACAGGCACAGGAGTCAGGGCTGGGATGGGGGAGACAGAGGCAGAGGGGTTAAGGCCAGGATGGGGAGGCACGACGGGCTGTAGAGGTCCAGGGGAGGCACCTGCCCGAGGCTGGGGGGTGGGTGGAGGCTTCCCGGAGGGGGGATAACTCTATGAACAAGAGAGACCTGCTTCTTGCTCTCATCCAGCTCACCGTCTAGGTGAGAAATCCAGTGAGACAAGTCCCCAGTCAGTGACATCCCAGAGTAAGCAGCACAGTAATAAGAGTCTTCAGGAAGGTAAACACGTTGGAGGCTTTCACGGGAAAAACTGAGGGCGCATGAGGTGATTTGAGTTTCCGTCCTCCTTACCCACCTACTGAGCTGTGGGACGTTGGCCAATTTCCTTGATCTTCCTCCACTTTGACTTTCTTCTGTGCAACATGATGATAACAAGTAAGTTACCTCGGAGTGGTTGTGGGGGCTGAATCATATTATGCAGGTAAAGCACTTAGCATAGGGCCTCACACAGGATGGATGGTTAACAACTGGCATTTCCTATCATCCATTAGACTCTGAGTCATGGGATCATAAGTGCCTGGTTCTGGAGCAGTATACATGCATAGTTGTTGGATGAATGAATGAATGAATGAATGAGTGAATACCTTATGTTTTACCATCCCTTCCCCCTCCCCCAGCCTGAGTTTCAGCCCCGAGAACCAAGCCTGTACCTCCGCTCTCCCTGCCCCCACCCCCGCCACAATCCTCCCGCTGGAGAGTCCATAGCAGATCCCACCCCACAGGCCAAAACCTGACCTCAGCCTCTCATCCCAATAGCAGCATTTGCCTCTATCTCTTGTACTTTGCTATGAAATGTTTTAGCTGAGCGAGTCTCTCCCCGATCCCTGGATTCCAACCTTGAACACCTCAGGGATGGAAACGTTTTTCTTCTCTGCACCTCCAAACCCAGGCTTAGTTAGGAATCTAATGCTCCTCAGTTTGAATTCCAGAGCAGTACACTCAACTTTCTGCACCTCAAGTGTGTGTTTGGTTTGGTTTGGGTCTTTGTTTGTTTGTTTGTTTGTTTGTTTTAAAAAGGATGACGGGTAAGGGGATCTTAACCCTTGACTTGGTGTTGTCAGCACCACGCTCACCCAAGTGTTTTAAAAAGGATGACGGGTAAGGGGATCTTAACCCTTGACTTGGTGTTGTCAGCACCACGCTCTCCCAAGTGAGCCACGGCCGGCTCTTGGTTTGGTTTTTAATTAAAAACATGGAGATCCATTGATTTATAATAAACGTTTTCTGACCTAGTAAATGACTAGGTATGGGACACAGTAGCAAACAGGGACAACTGTACCTACTCACAGTCCCGCTAGGATGCAATGATAACACTTTTACAACACCTCACAGGTGTTATGCATTGCCCTAAAGATTCGTGTGTATATTAGCTCGTCCTCACCACACCACTATGAGGTCGGTGCTATGATCACCCCCCGTTGACACTGCGACATTTCAGAAGTAAATCACTTCTCATTTATTGAACTTTTACTGTCAAGGACTCTTACTATCACAAACTGATGTTCTTCGCAGGCCGGCATGTGTGATGTGTCGGACTTGTACGACCACTTAAAAATACTGAATTAGTTGACAACGTATAAACGCAGAGATATTTATAACATTGCAGGTTTTCAGCTTCTGTTGAATAAGATTTGAAAACCTGGCGACATCAAGGTAGGATTTCTCATGACTGGGGTGGGCATTCTCAGTTGCCCACAGTCCCCATCCCTCGAAATTTCTTCCCAGTCCTGACGGGAGCCCAGTTTTATCCCGAGTGGCGCTTGGGGAAGTCCGACAGCGGCCCCTCGCGGACGAGTTGAGAATTTGCGTCTCATCTTCAGCAATATTAAGAAAGTTAGTGAGAACATCCAATCAGAGGGATGAGAGGCCTAGGAAGCGACCAATCAAAAGAGAGAGGGGAGCGGGAATTTGACCAATGAGGGTAGAGAGCGCTCAGAATAAAAGAAATTTTATTGAAGTGGGAGACAGACGCACACCAAGAGGTGTTTTTCTTTTTTTTTTTTTTTCACTGGGTCTCGGTGCTCAGGGAGGCCCAGGCTGGGGGCGGCGGAGCAGGCGCGCGGCGGCCAGGCTGGTGCCCTGGCGCTGGGGTCGCGCGTACTTGAGGAAGACGGCGGCTCGGCCCGGCGCGGGGCCTCGGAGCGCGGCTCGGGACATGCACGGTTCGAGAGGGCCCAGCTCCGCGGGGCTGCAGCAAGCAGACAGAGAAACTGAGGCAGAGGAAGGAGTGATGGAAAAGATGACCTATCCTAGGAGCTGGAGGCTTGAGGCGGAGTAAACACCTCCACGTGGGTCCCTGGGGGCGGCTCATGGGCTCTCTTGAGGTCAGACACATGTCCCACCTCAGCTGGAGTAGGGGACACCGAGGAGGGGCAGACACCCAATTCTCCCCACAGGTCACGGCTAGGGGGAAGCCAGGACCCGCGAGGAGGGAAGGAGTGTGACTGGGAGTGGACAGACATCCACTCTTCCCTGGGGGCACAGGCTGGCAGAAAAGATGATTTACGCTGCCACCCAGCGGCATGATGAACGGGATTAATGGTCCTAGCAGGTAAAGGGACACCCATCTGCGACCAGATACGGAACTGGAGGACTCGAGGCCTGGCAGACCCTTCACTCTCAACACTGGAACACAGAGCAACTTCCGAGCCCGAGAAAACTATCTTCCACTTAGGGGGGTAAGGTTAAGTGTCTCCAAATCTGGACAAACACCCCATTCTCATATACCCCCAGCGAAAAGCAAATGGGAACTTAAAAAATGCGACCCCCAAAAACTCAAGTCGAGGTGCTCCCCCCCCTAATAACTACCTCTCATTCTCTGAGACGCTAAAAACGGTGATCAGGAAGGGACGTCACTGAAGCCGCGGAGACCCTATCACAGGCCCTCAGCCGAGGCCATACCTGTAAAGCGCCGGCTCAGGCCTCGAGCCCGCACCGTTGAGCACGCGGTGAGCCAGGCTCAGAGCTGCAGCGGCGCGACGACCCGGCTCCCATCCCGCGGCCTCTGCCTCTAGCAAAGACAGCTCCAGGAAGTAGGTGGCAAGTAGCATCACCTGCCAGGGAGGCGGGTTGAACGTCAGACCACGCCCCTGCCCGCGCCCAGGCCACGCCCCTGACCACGCCCACGCGCACCTGGGGGCTGCTCCCCGCCAGCGCAGCAAGCAGCCCGAGGCACAGCAGCGGGCCCGGGTGGTGCAGCCGGAAATCCAAGCGGCTCAGGATGCGGCGCTCGGCGCGCAGCAGTTCAGCCGGTGAGAAGGAGCCGGCGCTCAGGAGGCAGAGGGAGGTGGGCTGTGGAATGGCGGGGAGCGGGTGGGGGAGAAAGGGGGGAGCCTCGAACTTCAGCTCTTTACTCCCTGCCTTGGAGTGCCTGGGATCGGTTCAGTCCAAGTTCCGGACCTCAGTTTCCTAGTCTGTAAAATGGGGCCATTTACTTGTGTCTGAAAGATGTGGAGAACACCGGCTTCAGAGTCGGAAAGACCGGGATCCAAGTTCAAACCTCACCATTACCCACTGTGTGACATGGCAAATCTCTCTGCCTCAGTTTGCTCTTCTGTAAAGCCGAGATACCACTCCCTACTTCACCAGGCAGTTCTGATTGGCACCGAGTTCATGCACGTTAACTATAACTACTGAAGATGGACTGTAATTACTGTAACTATTCCAGGATGACTCCAAGTCCCAACCGTTCGACTTTGGGCAAATGTCTTTCTCCGGGCCTCAGTCTCCTCCTCTGTTAGAGGGGCACATTGGCAGCCCCTACCTCATACGGATATGTTAGCTTCCAAGAGTACGGAAAGCGTTAGGCACACAGTAGGCATTTGATCAGTGACTACGGCAAAGACTCCCACCCCACCCCGGAAGTACCTCGGGAAGCACGCACTCTTCCATTTTACACGCCACGAACAAGCAGGCCACGCCCAGCAGCTGAAGGCGGTGTAGACGCACTCGGCCCGCGCACAGGTAGGAATCGAGCAGGTGTACAGCCAGGTAAAGCGTGTCTCCCGCCAAACCCAGGTACTCCTGCGGAGAGGCATGGGTGATCACTGAGGTCCCGGGCGGCGATGCGTCCCGGGCCCAGCCCCGCACCCTCCCCGGCACGTACATGCACTTGGACCAGCCAGTCCACCACTAGAGCGCGCATCTCTGGGGTCACGGTGCGGGGCAGGGCCCTCGGGGGCAGCGCGCGGCACACCTGGAGAGGAACGGCCTCGTTCTCCACACCTGTGCCTCAGTTTCTCTCCTGAGCCCCCACCCTGGTTGCAGCAATCACCTCCTGCCAGTTGGATGTCTCACGAGAGTGCCACACCCAAACTGGCCTCCTAATGTGCTTCTCTTTTGTGTCCCCATCTAGGACTCTGGACTTTGTTCTAGACACCTCTCTACCCACCTGTGTAGTCTGCAGCCCCCATAGCCACTCGACCCCCTGGGCATCTCCCCCTGCGTTCCCAGACTCCACTCTTGACCACCAATCCTAAACCCATTCCCCTCAGAGCACCTAGAAGGGTCCTTCTAGGCTGGCCGGATGCTCAGTTGGTTAGAGTGTGGGTGCTGATAACACCAAGGTCACAGATTTGGATCCCTGTACTAGCCAGCCACACACACACATAAAAATAAAACATAAAAGAAGGGTTTTTTCAAAGACAGATCTGACAAAGGAACTCCCCCACTTAGAAGTATTCTGTGGCTCCCAGTACCCTTAGGAGAAAATCCTAATGACTCTCAGGCCCTGCCCCTTCTCCGTCACCTCTTCCCTGTTTCCCCTCACGACCCACACTGCAGCCACACCAGCCTTCTTTTTGGCTTCTAGACTATGCCAACCCTCATTTCTGCCCCAGGGCCTTTGTACTTACTGTTCCCAAGGTCCTTCTCCAAATCCTCGCATTGCCTTCTCCGTCACTCAAGTCCCAGCTAAAATTTCTCTTTATACTTTCTATATACTCTTCCCTCCACTGCATCGCTATCTCATCACTTTATTTTCAAAGTATTTTCATATTGAAGGCACCCAGGGTTTCCCTGTGTGTTTCGTGTGTTTGCCCCGCTAGGCTGCCAGCACCACGAGGGCAGGACTTCTGTCCAGGTCACAGGTGTGTCTCTCAGTTCCTAACAGAGACCCTGGCCAAAGAGAGGCACTCACGAGATGTTGGTTAAATATATTCACCCCTTCAGTATTTCTTCCGGCAGTACCTATCTCACACAGATGTCTGAGGACCCCCGTGGGTCTCTTTTGGTCTTTGTGGCCCTTCTTTAATTACTGAATATATTTGCTTGTCTGTGTCCCCCAAATGAGGACAGGCTGTGTTGATCATCACAGCATCTCCAGTGCCTAGAACATGCTCAAAAACATTTGTTAATAAGTCGCTAAATATGTTAAACAAATACATGTGGGGACAAGTACGAGGGACTATGAAACAGCAAAGCGGGGACTGCAAACGGCCTTTGGAGGGTAGGAACAGGCATTCCGAGCGGGTAACTGTGAGAGGGGAAAAAATCCTAGAAGCTGGGGGCAGGCATGTGGGGACAAGTACGAGGGACTATGAAACAGCAAAGCGGGGACTGCAAACGGCCTTTGGAGGGTGGGAACAGGCATTCCGAGCGGGTAACTGTGAGAGGGGAAAAAATCCTAGAAGCTGGGGGCAGGGGCGCTGGACAGTCAGAGGAGACGAGGCTGGCGAGATGGAGCTGGGAAACGCCTGTTGAATGCGTGCTGGGCAAGTGGGCCGGCTTTGGCCTCCTCTAACCCGAACCCCTGGGCTGCCCTCCAGAGGTGGGGGCGGCGCCAGAGTGGTCTGCGGCCCGCGGGTCCGCTCACCAAGACTTCCGCGAAGATGTCCCCGGCGTACTCGCGTTCTCCCTCCAGCCCCAGCGCGCTCAGCGCCTCCTCCAGCCCCGGCGGTGTGCACGGCCCCAGGGGCCTTTCCGGGCGTCCTGGGGAGACACTCGTGCCCGCGGGGACGCTGTTAGGGACTGCGGCGCTCGGAGGCTCTGCATTGAGGGAGGCTGCGGGACTCTGCAAGGGAGAGGGGCTGGGGGTCAGCGTCTGGGGGGAGACCAGGGCCGGGAGGTGGGCCCGTGCCTCTCACCAGCATCCTGCAGACTGGCGTCGCGGACGAAGCCAAGCGCCTACAATCTCCAGCTGGAAAGGGGAACCAGTGGCGGCGCTTTAAAAGCGCCTGGGCGCATGCGTACCGAGTTCGCCACCCCGAGCAGGTGCATATACGAAGGTGAATGCTACTCACGCTGCCTCTGCCTCCTCCAAACCCTCTAAGGCCAGGCAGCTGGAGTCAGATCCTCGTCCTGCTGCTCAAAGGAGCCCCTCTGAGCCTCACTTTCCTCAACCATTAAGTAGGGATTATTTTAAAATTTAGCCGACAGGGTTGTCCTGAGGATTTTATAATACTGTGTTTTAAGCGTCCAGCACAGGGCCTGATACAGTAAAAGCTCAAGACATGGGCGCTATAGATCACTTAACAAATATTTAAGGCAGACCCCTGTCCTGTGCACTAAGCATTCAGGGGTGAACAGGTCACCTGTGGTTCTTGGCTTTACCAAGCCCACGGTCTAGCGCTGAGATTATGATAGGGACAAGTCACCAGCAATTGGTCCGGACTAGTGCAGCGGCCTCCTGGCTGCTCTCCCTGTTCCCATCTCCTACAGCTCGTTCCCCACATGCAAGCAAAGGGATCCTGTGCACGCCTATGTCAGATCACACCCTGACTCTAGTCAGAACTCCTTCATGGCTCCCATCTCCCTCAAGCTGAAGGCCCATGATGCCCTGTGTTATCTGCCCCCACCACACACACACCCCTCTGAACTCATCTACCCCACTGCACTCACTCAGTCCTCTTCTGGCCTCCTGACCCTTCCTCACCCACACCAAGCATGCTCCTACCTCAGGGCCTTTGCACTGGCTAGTCCCTCTGCCTGAAATGCTCTTCCCTCAGAGATCATGCTGCCCTCCCAAACCTCCTTTGTTTACTCAGATATTACCTTCTCCATGAAAAGTGTCATCCTAACCATTTCCTGTCTCCATTCTCCCCACTTATTCTCTTCTTAGCACTTACTATCTTCTAATCAACCATATACTGTCCTGTCTACTGTCTCCCTCCTAACTTGAGTGCAAGGGCAGGGCTTTTTGCCTGCTGTTTTTTTGTTTTGTTTTTTCTACTGTTGTATACCCAGTGCCTAGAACAGAACCTGGAACATAAATGAGTACCTATTGGTGCTCAATAAATATTTGTTGAATGAATGAGTGAAAAGACTGGATGTAATTTAGAGATAGTGGTCCAGGAGGGCCTCTCCGACGAAGTGACATTGGAACTCAAACCTGAAAAAGGAGAAAGCCAGAAAGCCAGAGGGGAGAATATTATAAGTGGAGAGAACAGCATAAGCAAAGGCACAGAGGCAGGAAAGAGCTTACTATTTTCAAGTGTTGAGACGTCAGTGAGGCTGGAAAAGTGAGCAAGGGATAGAGTGTGAGATGTTGGACCAATGGCTTCCTGTCATACCAAAAGCCAAACTCCTCACCCTGGCCAAAGTTCCCTTTGGCCCATTGTTAACTCACTAACCTCCTCTCCTTCCATTCTCCCCCTCCCTCACTTCACTTTGAGAAACCTGGCCTCCTTATGTTCCCCAGATATCTGAGACACCTGCCTGCCTCAGGGCCTTTGCACTTGCTGTTCCTACTGCCTACAACGCTCTTCCCCCAGAGATCCACCTGGCTTACTCTTCATTTAGGTTTCTGCTCAAATGTTACTTGAGGCCTTCCTTGGCCCCCTATCTAAAGTAGTCACCCAGTCACCACCAGATCGATCTTTTAATTCTCTGCACCTCACATATTTGATAAATTATGTTGTTTTCTAAGAGCAGGGCTGTGTTTGGCCCATCTTGTCTGTGGCTGTGACTTCAGCACCCATAACAGTACCTGGCTCATAGTAGGGGGCTCAGTATCTTTGTTAAATGAATGAAAGCAGGGTTATTTGGGTCTGTACCCCTAGACAGATCGGGGCACTACTCTATCCCAGGGAAGGTCTCATCTGACTCTTCCTTGAATCCCATGGCTGGTGCAGAGCAGACATCAAGTGTTTATCAAATGACTGAGTGAAGGGCTTGGCACTGCTCTTACTTAAGCTGCCCTGAAGGACAAAGGAGAGAAGAGCCCAGCCTTGGAGAAGACCAGCCAGCACCTCCTTCCACCAATCCCTCCCTGCCTCAGTTCCTTCTCTGGAAAGGCAAGAGGGAGGAGGTGGCCCCTGCCTTGGGGACCAGTAGACATCACAGGGATTTGAGGAGGACCAGTCTCATAAGACCCCATGTGGAATCTGCTTCAACATGTAAATCACAGGAAAGCCATATGAAGCTTATAGGTTTGTGGGAGTTCATTATACTGTCTGCTTTTATGAGGGTTGGAACATTGCCATAGGAAAAAAGTTTTACTTTTCAAAATGTGACATGAGCCTAACTGTATTTCAGATACATAATATAACCACATGGGGTGAAGGGGGGTAGGGAAGGGCTAATCGAAGTCATTTTGGGGCACAGTATTTTGACTGTACACCCTCAACTAAAGGCAAAAAGAACATACTGAACTGTGGTAAGAAGCCTTCTTTTTCAGGGTAGTGTGGGTTAGCAACACTTGAGCTATATTCTAGAATAGAGCAAATATATTGTGGTCAAGGGGAGTCAGGTTTTGCACTCTCAGAGAATGGGTGTACAAATATGGATAGGAAAGTTAGAGTGAACCTTAGTGTTGCAGTGGAATCAGCGATAAAATTGTGTGACCCCGTGGTTGTTACTATATAGAAATAGGCATTGTGTGTGCATGCATACGTCTCCTAGTTTAGTCCACAGACAGGGCCTGAGAGCAGTGGCCCTCCCAACAGCGATGAGCTCACCTAGAGTCCAGATCTTGGCTTCTTCATTGAAAGGAACCAGTGCTACTTAGAGAAATGACTGATTCCCGGGGAAGTCACACAACAGAGGGTATGAGATCAGGAACAACTCTGTGTGGCAGAAAGTAAGGAAGTGTTCTAATGACAGAGCAGGTCAAACAGCTACAGAAGCCACTAGCCAAATCTAGAACAATTTGACCATCAAGATAATGATAGTAATGGGTCACAAATCACTGAATAAAATTAGAATACAAGCTCACTCTGATATAACAAGGGTGGGTGGTGGGGAGGAAAAGCTCTTACCTTTGAAATGCGAACTAATAAAATGTAGAAGGAACGATGGAAAGTCATATTTGGCAACCACCATAGCATTAAATGTTTCAGGCAAGAAACATCAACACCAATGTTAAAACTAGTAGTGAACATTTGATGAGAATCTAGATATTTGCAGTCTCAAAGTATCTCTACACAAGATGCTTGCTACAGAGGGAAAGTAGTAATTTTACAGTGGAGAAACCTGAGACACTGCATCTTAACCAAGGGATCAAAGTCATTACCAGTCACAGGACAAATCATCCTCATGTGCCTCCTGATAGGATGCCCTGAAAAGGGCACATCACTTCTCGGAATTCCTGCCCAAAACAGCTTGCCTGCTGTTTCCACGAGGAAACATCAGGCAACAAACCCTGTGGGACATTCTGCAAAAAATAACTATCCTGTGAGTTTCAAACTGACAACTGAATGCAACATGTGAGCCTGGACTGAGTCATTACCCAGGATTTTTTTTTTTTTTTCCTATACAAGGACATTGAGCGTGACCATTAGTAAAATTTGATTAAACTCTGTAGAGAAAAGCATTGTTTCAAGCATTGTTTTAATGTTAACTTCCTGACCTTGACCGTTAGAATGCAGTTACATAAAAGAATATTTTTGTTTTAGGACAGATGTGTAAACATGAAGTGGGGGAGAGAAGAGAGGGAGGAAATAAAATAACTGTAGTAAAATGCTATCTAGCTTTTTTATATAAAATTTTTATTTTCAAGATTTACAGAAAGTTGCAAAGATACGAGTGTTCCCATCTACCCCACACCCAGTTTCTCCTACTATTAACATCATAAAGTAGTGTGGTACATTTATCACAATCAGTGAACCAATATTGATTATTAACTGAAATTCATGCTTTATTCAGACTTCCTGACCTTTCCCCTGATATCCTTTCCCCGTTTCAGGAGACCACATTACATTCAGTCATCATGTCTCCTTAGGCTTCTCTCAGCTATGCTGCTTTCTCAGACTTGTCTTGTTTTGAACGATCTGGACAGTTTTGAGGACTATTGATCAGGTATTTGGTGTTATCAGCACCACATCCTAACCAACTGAGCTGCCCAGCCCTCGTATTATCTTTTAATTCCATTTTGTCCACAAACATGTTTAAGTACCCTCAAACTGTCAGCACGACTTAGGGTTGACGTTGATCTTCGTCACCTGGCTGACGCGGTGGTTTGTCAGGTTTCTTTCCTGAAAAATT